GTTGTGTGTGTGTGTGTGTGTGTGTGTGTGTGTGTGTGTGTGTGTTTTGTTTGTTTTTGTTGAGAGGGAGTCTTGCACTGTTGCCCATGCTGGAGTGCAGTGTTGGAATCTCAGCTCACGTGACAAGTAGCTGTTCCTTGAAATAAGGACTTGTCTGATCGCAAGTGGCAACTTTTAACTGTATAGAATTATAAATACTGAAATTACTCTAATGTTTCTTGGCACTGTTTCTGTTATAAATGAGACTTCATTTTTAGGATAACTTGTGATTTTATTTTGTTTTTTTGAGACAGAGTCTCACTGTGTCACCCAGGCTGGAGTGCAGTGGCATGATCTCAGCTCACTGCAACTTCGACCTCCCGGGTTCAAGCGATTCTCCTGCTTCAGCTTCCTGAGTAGCTGGGATTACAGGCATCTGCCACCGAGCCCGGTTTATTTATTTATTTTTTTCTTCTTTTGTAGTTTTAGTAGAGATGGGTTTCACCATCTTGGCCAGGCCGGTCTTGAATTCCCGAACTCGCTTCGGCCTCCCAAAGTGCTGGTGGATTACAGGTGTGAGCCACCACATCCGGCCCAACTTTCGATTTTAATATTTGAAATTATAGGAGTCAAAATTAAGTGAATACCTGAATTGTAGAAAATTATATTTAAGCTACACAATGTCAATAGAGAAATAAGATAAAGAATTTTTTGATAAAAGAAAATGGAGCATAAAAGCATTGGTCTTCTCATAACATACTACTCAGCCAGCTTTTGAGGTAGCTTCTGTAGATGACAATTTTGTGGTTATGCACGTCATTGTCTTAATTTAGCTTAGAATGCAAACCAGTTAAGATTTGGTTAATACCGGTATCAATCAGATGTTGGCTCCACATGCACCCAAAGGTCAGTGCCTTTTGGACAGCTTTTAACGGTTTGGTTGGAGCATACACCTGTATTTTCAGCGACTCGGGAGGCTGAGGCAGGAGAATCGCTTGAACCTGGGAGGCGGCAGTTGCAGTGAGCTATCTCACTATTCCACTTCAGCCTGTGCCATAGAGTGAGACTCCATCTCAAAAACAAAAAAGATTGTAAAGCAATCTTTTAGCATTGATAAATGGGGAATTGTGGAAGGATTTAAGTGTTGGTTTAGGGATTCAGGTGTGGACAGTAAAAATGTGGCCACAGGAGTGCCTTTCTTTGCATCTCACTGTTAAACTCTTACCCAGGTCGGAGTGCAGGGGCTGTTGACAGGTGTGATCATAGCTCCCTGCAGCCTTAAGTTCCTGGGCTCAGCCTCCCAAGGAGCTAGACGTGTGCCACCACAGCTGACTAGTATTTACATTTATTGTAGAGAAAAGGTCTTGCTGTGTTGCTTAGGTTGATCTTGAACCCTTGACCTCCAGGGTTCCCTCCTGCTTTGGCCTCCTAAGGAGCTGGAACTACAGATATTTGCCAGTGTTCTCAATTGATGGCAATGCAGAAATGCCTTCTTTTTTTTTTTTTGAGATGGACTCATGCTCTGTTGCCCAGGCTGGAGTGCAGTTGGGCGATCTCTGCCCAGTATATCGTCCACCTTCGGGGTTCAAGTGATTCTCCTGCCTTAGCCTCCTGGGTAGCTGGGATTACAGATGCCAACCACCACTCTTGGATAACTTTTTTGAATTTTTAGTAGAGACAGGCTTTCATTATGTTGGCCAGGCTGGTCTTAAACTCCTGACCTCAAGCCTCCTTGTGATCTGCCTGCCTTGGCCTCCCAAAGTGGTGGGTTTATAGACAGTAGCTGCTGCAAATGCCCAGAAATGCTTTTTCTTTTTTTGAGCCAGAGTTCCGCTTTCGTTGCCCAGGCTAGCAATGGTGTGATTACGGCTCATTGAAACCTCTGCCTTTCAGGTTCAAGTAATTCTCTTGCCTCAGCCTCCCAAGTAGCTGGGATTACAGGCATGCACCACCATGCCTGGCTAATTTTGTATTTCTATTTTTTATTTTATTTTATTTTATTTTTTTTTTGAGACGGAGTTTCGCTCGTTACCCAGACTGGAGTGCAATGGCGTGATCTCGGCTCACCGCAACCTCCGCCTCCTGGGTTCAAGCAATTCTCCTGCCTCAGCCTCCCGAGTAGCTGGGACTATAGGCATGAGCCACCATGCCCAGCTAATTTTTGTATTTTTAGTAGAGATGGGGTTTCATCATGTTGACCAGGATGGTCTCGATCTCTTGACCTCGTGATCCACACGCCTCGGCTTCCCAAAGTGCTGGGATTATAGGGGTGAGCCATGGTGCCCGGCCAATTTTGTATTTTTAATAGAGATGGGGTTTCTTCATGTTGGTCTAGTTGGTCTTGAACTCCCAACCTCAGGTGATCCGCCCGCCTCGGTCTCCCGAAGTGCCAGGATTATAGGCGTGAGCCAACATGCCTGGCCCGGAAATTTAATGGTCACCTCCTAGGGGAGATGTAGAGTCATTGCATAATCAGTTTTAACTGTATTTGTAGTGTTTCTGTTTCTTCACCAGGTAGATACATTGTAGATAGGTCAGAGTACTTAACTGACACATGCAGGCTGTGGCTGTATATTAGAAAGTTACTAAGTAGAATGCTTGGATTTTATTTGAATTGGATGAAGTTTTTATGTCCTGGAGAAATTTACAAAATGTTCGTAGTTTTAGATAAAAGGTTATGATTTAATATCTTTGCTTTTGTTACTGTCTTTGAGACGGATTCTTGCTCTTTTGCCCAGGTTTGAGTGCAGTGGCTTGATTTCCACTTATTGCAACCTCCGCTTCCCAGGTTCAAGTGATTCTTCTGCCTAAGCCTCCTGAGTAGCTGGGATTACAGGTGCCCAATACCACGCCAGGCTAACCTTTGTATTTTTACTAGAGATGGGGTTTCACCATGTTAGTGAGGCTGGTTTTGAACTCCTGACCTCAAGTGATCTGCCCACCTCAGCCTCCCAAAGTGCTGGGATTACAGGTGTGAGCCATGGTGCCCGGCCTTATTCTTGCCTTTGATAGAACAGTGGGCAGCAGTCAGAACTGTTTGCAAAGTACCTCTGACTGTCTTCACCTGATTTTGTTTGCGGGGAGGCATTGACTGGAATATAGGTAGGAACTTGCACAATCAGTAACTGTTGGAGTGACGCCTTGTTGGCATACCTGTTCCAGCACTCCTCCTCTTGGTCTCCCCCTTGAACTGGCTTGTGGGTGAAGGTTGGCATGGGGTGTCTGGGCACTGGCTGTGCATGCCTTCTTCCTCTCCTGTCTCTTGGCCACCTCTTCCAAAAAGTCACCAGGGACCAGCTCTCCCAGTGTTTGCTTCTTCAGTACCCAGCGTCTTGGACTTGGCATTGGTTAAAGCCGACTGGCGAGTTTCATTTCCATGAGCTCTGTAGTAGACCGGTGTGGACCTCTGTTCTTCCTCGCTCTGGGAGCTTTCTCAGCCGTTGCTCCTCGCTATTTGCTATTGCGGGTCCTGAGGGTACCCAGCATCTAGGGTTTTGGGTGCTCACCTGTACATTGATTCTTTCTGGCTGTGGGCAGAGTCACCTCAGGTGCTGCTTTTCTCCAGTGACTTAATTTTTTTGTTGTTTTTGAGACCCGAGTCCCGCTCTGTTTCCCAGGCTGGAGTGCAGTGGATCTCAGCTCACCGCAACCTCCGCTTCTCTGGTTCAAGTGATTTTCTTGCCTCAACCTCTGGAGTAGCTGGGAGTATAGGCGTCCATCACTACACCCTGCTAAGTTTTGTGTTTTTAGTAGAGACAGGGTTTCACCATGTTGGTCAGGATGGTCTTGATCTCTTGACCTTGTGATCCACCTGCCTCGGCCTCCCAAAGTGCTGGGATTACAGGCATGAGCCACTGTACCGGGCTTGGTCATTTAATTTTTTTAGTAGACACAAAGTCTTGTTATGTTGCCCAGCCTGGATTCAAACTTCTAAGCTCAAGGAATCTCCCACCTCAGCCCCCTGAGTAGCTGGATCAAATCATTCTTGTTCATAAACCTCAGTTGCTTCATAAATCTTGATTTCTGCTTAATTTCAGTACCCTTGTGTACTGTAGGATTGATTGATAGAATATTTGTGACTCAGATGTACCCGCTCCGGCCGGCAGGTCGGCTGCACTGATTCTGTAGTTGCTTGTGGCCTTTTTCTTTACCTTGCATGCATTTATGTCTTAATGCATCTATTAGGATTCGTTGCTTTTATCACATATTTCATTTTTCTGAAAAAATAGAGTACTTATGAATAATGCAGAACCCAGGTTAAGTAAAAAGGTTTGTATACTTTAAGAATTTTCAGTAAGTACTCTTTGATTGATAACTGAGGCAGAGGAGACAAACGGTCAGTACCGATGCTTATTTTCAGGAGCATTTTGTGTTTCCAGTTGGCAGCATGATGCTTCCTTGTGTCCGTGGTTTTGTTGAGACACCTTCAAGTGTAATCCTAATGTCTGCTGGTTAGCATTTGATCAGATTTGATTGTACTTAATCCTTATGAGTTTTTTAAGACATCGAAATTAGAGTAAAAGGAATTTCCTTTGCCTGGGCTCATGGCTTATGTGGCCATACCATTGTGCGCGCGCGCACGCCGGGTTCATCCACGTTTCTGTTTGTTTCTGAATTGCTTTGGAGAAGGCAATTCAGACTCCAGGGAATAAGACAGCCTCAGTGTGAAGCTTTTCACACTTATGCAGTGGTTGTAGCAGGATGTAAATGATGTGAAATGAGCTGATTTTGAAGTGCATATCGATGCTCCGTAAAGTGTGTGTGTATACCTGCTGTTTTTAATTTAATTCATTTGATATGATGTGTTCGAATATAATGTGTTGAATTCAACTAGCAAAACTGTTGGTGAGATGGTATTTCAGTTACTCTGTAGATACACTGTTTTGTTACTACCTGTTTTCTAAATTTTTGTTTCTGAATATGTTAAAAAACATTCATCTATTTTCTCTTATTGTAGCTATCCCATGAGGAAAAAAACTTGGAAAAAAGACTTCATCGTGTGTGTTTGTGTTTGATTTTAGAAGACCCTTTTGAGGAGTTCTTTGGGAATCGAAGGGGTCCCCGAGGAAGCAGAAGCCGAGGGACGGGGGCGTTCTTCTCTGCGTTCAGTGGATTTCCATCTTTTGGAAGTGCATTTCCTTCTTTTGATACAGGTATTAAATCCCTAGATTTAATCTCTATTGCCTTAATAAAAACAGTTAGTACTTATAAGGGTAATATTCTTTTAGTTAGAGCACTTTAAAATACGTGTATTCTTTTTTTTTTTTTCCATTGAGATGGAGTTTTGTTCTTGTTGCCCAGGCTGGAGTGCAGTGGCATGATCTTGGCTAAGTCTGCCTCTCAGGTTCAAGCGATTCTCCTGCCTCAGCCTCCCAAGTAGTTGGGATTACAGGCATGCACTGCCATGCCCTGCTAATTTTTGACTTCCAAGTCTTACTTAAGAAATACATTTTATAATACATTAGCTGTCACAGATAGTTTTTCCTTTGCTGGATCTGGGCAAAGTCAATGAAAAAATTTCTGGGGAAAAAAAAAAACAATAGTTTTAGATGGCATTAAGAACAGTGTGATTCATGGAAGGAAGGAGGTGAAAGTATCAACCTGAGCAGTAGTTTGGGAAGAAGTTGATTCCATTCCTCACGGGTGACTGAGGAGTTCAGAACTTCAGTGGAGGAAATCATGCAGATGTGGCAGGAATAGAAAGAGAACTAGAATTTTTTTTTTTTTTTTTTTTAGTATGAAATGTTTTTAATCCTAGAAAGGATGCCATTGCTAGTAAAACTAAAGAGGGGAAAGTCAACAATAATGAAATTAAGGTTTTTTTTAAAATTCAGTGAACACATATCAAAATGCTCAATGTTGTTAAATGACATGATATAATTTATCCACAGAAGACATGTTCTTATTTTTTTAGTAGAGATGGGGTTTCGCGATGTTGGACAGGCTGGTTTCGAACTCCTGACCTCAAGTGATCCACCTGCTTCGGCCTCCCAAAGTGCTGGGATCACAGGCGTGAGCCGCCGCGCCCGGCCTGTGTGTTCCTTCTGCAGCATAGCATTGTAGAATTTGCCAGCTTGTTTTGGTGCACAGATCTGCGCTGCATAACCTCCATTTTCTCCTAATCTCCTACGATTGTCCTTGGAAATCTTACTGTGAATACGATATGCAGGATGAGAATGCAATGAAATTCTTAGTTTAAAAGAATGTATATTCTGGGTTAGTATATGGAAAGTAACGCACCTGGAAAATCTCAACTAACCTTCATGCTTTCTAACCTCCTTTGCAGTTAAAATGAAAGTACACAAATGGGTAGCATCCTCGGAGTGTCCCACTGATGGAAACGCTGCTCATAGACTGGAGCAATATGAAAATGTGTGTTAAGCCTGAAGAATTAGAATCCCACTTTTCTCTCAAACTCATCCAGTGTCTCTTCACAGAGGAGTTTGGTTTTTTTTTTTTTTAAATACAGAGTCTCACTTTTAGTGGGTGCCCTCTTAGTGTAGTGGCATGATCTCGGCTCACCACAACTTCCCGCATCCTGGGTTCAAGTGATTATTGTGCCTCAGCCTCCTGAGTAGCTGGAATTACAGGTGTGCACCACCAGGCCCAGTTAATTTTTGTATTTTTAATAGAGACAGGTTTTGTCATGTTGGCCAGGCTGGTCTTGAACTGACCTCAGGTAGATCTGCCTGCCTCGGCCTCCCAAAGTGCTGAGGTTTCAGTCATGAGCCACCACATGTGGCCTGGAGCTGTTGTTTTGATTCTCTCATTTTTATGTTTAAACCTTCACGGTAAGAATTGGGAGAGCTTGTAATACAGCATTCCGCCCTCATAAGGTCAGAGTTTTATTTTCTTTCAACATTGTGCTCATGCAGCTAGGCAGATAGTGAAGTCTGCTCGATTGGACCTCAGTTCAGATGTGCTTTCCCTCAACAGAGCCTCTCATTGATAGGATGCAATATGCTGACCACAGGTTAAAAATACCATGTAAATAGTCCTTTTTAAAAGTATTCAGTGGCTCCTGTGTGGGGCTGTTGTGCAGCAAGCTGTCCCCACTTCTGAGGTGCCTTACAAAGTATCATAAGAATCAATACTTAGGTAGGCTTCATCTAGACCAGCGCAGTAGCCACCAGCCACATGTAGCTCCTGAGCCCTGGAGGCCTGGCGACTCCACAGGGAGATCAGTGCGAGTGTGAAACAGTCACTGGATTTCAAAGACTGAGCATGGCAAGCAGTGTAAAATACGGCGAACAATTTTGATTTTTTAAATTTCCAGCTGAAATATTTTGGATATACTCTATTCAATACTGAAATTAATTTCACTAGTTTCTGCTTTTTAGTGAACTCATTAGAAAAGGTAAACTTAACATACCTGGCTCACATAGTTCTTCAGGACACCATGAGTGCTAGACAGTGTCAGGGCGTAGATGATGAATCATGTTCAGAGTATGCGTCATTTGTGTTAATGTGAGCATTTTGGAAGCAACGTGAGTATTCAACTCTAACCAGTAGACCAGGTTTAATACCAAAAAGAGTTTGCTTTAGTGTGATGTATCAAGCTTTTTAGTGTCCACAATGTGATTGCGTCCATAACGTGTAATTGAGAATGGTGCCTGTGAACTGTAGAACCATAGCTTTTTCAGATGAATGCTTGTAACATTCCCTCTCAAATGAGCTTTTTTAGTTAGTTTCTTATTCTCTGTGGTCCTGTGGCAAAGCAAAGGGAAGCCAGTTAGGTTTGCTATTCTGTGGTGGTGAGGTTACTCTGTTGGTGTCGGATAAGGATATCCATCACAGCCCGTGGAGTTGACAGGCCACGCCGAGGCAACATAGCTTAATATTGAGGCTGGTCTGCTGGTTAGAGCTTAATACCAGTCCTGGTTCAAAGGTTAACGTTAATGCAGATGACACGTGCTCTGTCGTGCCAAGCAGACCACCCACGAGCAGGGCCGGCCTGTGGCATGTTGGCACTGACGGTCTGTGTGAGGAGACAGAGAGGGGCTGCCCTGAAGCTCTGTGGCGCTCGTGCTCCCCTGGAACCCCCGCTGAGGGATTTGAGAGGGTCTTTTCCCCTGGGACCACAGCACTTCACTGGAGGCCTTATTAGTGCCTGGTGTGTTACTCATTGGTTCCATGTCTTAACGTTAGATAATCTACTAGTGAATTTTCAAACTCTAATCTTTGCAGTAGTGATTGACATATTCCTCTAAGCATTTTCTTTTCTGTTTTCCTGTAGGATTTACTTCCTTTGGGTCACTGGGTCACGGAGGCCTCACTTCATTTTCTTCTGCATCGTTTGCTGGTAGTGGGATGGGCAACTTCAAATCGGTATCGACTTCAACTAAAATAGTCAATGGCAGAAAAATCACTACAAAGAGGTACTGTAGCATTCGGTATTGCACATTGTTAGTAAGCAGGCATAACGTTTCACTGGTGCCCTGTTGCACATCTCCCAGAGTGTGAAGTCACACACGTGGCTGTGTGCCGGATGTGGCACCACATCTCCCAGAGCGTGAAGTGTGCCAGATCCGGCACCACATCTCCCAGAGTGTGAAGTCACACGTGGCTGTGTGCCCCATCTTGGCACCACATCTCCCAGAGTGTGAAGTCACACGTGGCTGTGTGCCCCATCTTGGCACCACATCTCCCAGAGTGTGAAGTCACACAGGTGGCTGTGTGCCCCATGTGGCACCACATCTCCCAGTGTGAAGTCACACAGGTGGCAGTGTGCTGGATCTGGCACCACATCTCCCAGAGTGTGAAGTCACACATGTGGCTGTGTGCCCCATCTGGCACCGTGAAAAACCGTTTACTCTACAGATGCATTCATGAAGGCTTTTTCTCTTTAGTTAAAGTTGATTTATTAGAAGGAATCTTTAGAGCCGTATTTTATGTGTAATAATGTGTTTAGTAAGTTTCCGCGGCAGTGTTAAAATGGTAAAATGGAAAATCAATAATAAAGCCTTTCCTGTTTTATCTGTGCCTTTATTTAACATTCACCTGAACAGCTGAATGAGTGAATATCAGAGACACAATTTGTTTTTGTCAGGATAATTCTGTTTTAGGAAAGGAAGATGTATTGTTCACAGGTTGGCTTCAGCCATGTTTTTTTCAGCCTAGAAATTACTTATATTCATGGTGTACTGCAGTAATGTCCTTAAAACATACTTATTTACCCTCACACATGTATTTATGTTACCAAAAAGCTTCTTAAATGAATTTTTTCCTACAGAATTGTCGAGAATGGTGAAGAAAGAGTAGAGGTTGAAGAAGACGGCCAGTTAAAGTCCTTAACAATAAATGGTAAGGAGCAGCTGCGGCGCTTGGATAACAAGTAATTCAACGCACGCGCTTAACAGAAATGTTAAACTATAACAAGCACCATTTGAGGATTAACAGGAACATTTTTTTGAAGATTTCAAACGAACTCGACTTTCAGTATAATTGTACCTAAAGTATTTATAAACAGCTCATCGGAGCCTCTATTTGTCATAGACTTTTGAGTTTATTGTTGGGACCACATAATAGGACCATTTTTTTTTTGTCTTTAAAATTGTTGTAAATCTCTGTATGCACTTTGCTTTTTTATTAAACGTACTCCAAGGTGAGTCTTGACTCTTTAGTGTAGGACAAGATTGTACACTAACACCAGCATGGACCTGCTTTTCATTGTGTCTGAAATTGTGAGCCACGTAGCGTCGGCCTGCTGTGAAGTTAACATGGCCAGGACGAATCTTCTACAGAAATAATTTCCATTTTTTTCAGTATTTAGTAGTGAAAGATATTAATGCATTAACGGTAATACATTTCTGGTTTAATATAAATTACGGATGTTTTCTAGTTGTGCATGAATGCTGGCAACTTAGTAAGTTTTGACAATTGTTTAAATATGTAATGTTAAGCTTAGGTTTAAAAAAGTAAAGCTGGTAAACCGGGTGTTTGTCATTTGCTTAAAAAAAAAAAAAAAAAAAAAAAGAAAATAAATTTGAATGTGTTGGTGCATTCTTCCTGAGTGGGATCTGGAGCCTTCTTGTGTCCGTGTGTGATTTGTGCCTGGGCTTCCCTAGTGTCACTTCCATAGCGTTTTGTGATGTTCATTCCGGTGGATGCCACACCTCAGTTACATATAGACATTTTCTTCAGTATATTTGGAGTATATGAAGATTTTCATATTGTGAGTTCCTATTTAGCAATCGACTAAACATTTAATTACAGTTAACATTTCTACAGGGGTGGGAAGAAACTACTTTATAATTTTCACTCTTAAAGTATGTTCTAGTTTTTAGGATTTGATTGATGTAAGCTCACTTATGGAGTGAGGTGCGATGGCTTACTCCTGTAATCTCAATGCTTTGGGAGGCCGAGGTGGGTAGATCATCTGAGGTTCGGAGTTCGAGACCAGCCTGACCAACATTAGCTGGGTGTGGTGGTGGGCGCCTCAGTAATCCCAGCTACTCAGGAGGCTGAAGCAGGAGAACTGCTTGAACCCGGGAGGCATAGGTTGCAGTGAGCCGAGATCATGCCACTGCACTCCAGCCTGGTGACAGAGGGAGACTCTGTCTCGCAAAACAAAAAAAAAAACACAAAACACTTAATGGACAGTATGTATGGTACAGTCATGGAATGATTTAGGAGTGAGCAAAAATAAAGGTATTTTGTTTCTCAGTTTGTAGTATCTTTCTTGATTACCATTAGTAGTTAGAATTCTAGCCATAGTGAATTTTGAACTAGACTTTTAATTTAAAAAACTCTGTTTTGTTTTGGAACTAAACAGTGTGAAAGCTACTAGAAGGATAGACATTGCCCTGACAACAGCACGTCCGTGCTGGCATAGCAGGAGGGCATGGAGATTGCTCAGGATATGCCAGAGCCTCTAAGGAACCTGACGTGCTGTCACCCAAAATAAGAAATGTAAGGAATTTCATAGGTGCTCAAAACAGCATAGAAACAGTTAAGTATTTGGGGACAGTTGAACTACAAGAAGAACACGAATGATGTGCTTGTCTGTGTTGTATCACGCGGCACTTGGCATCTCTGGATGAGGTAGGTATGCAGCCATGGCACATGCAGGAAAACAGGAAGCGCCCTCTAGTGTGGTAAATCTCACCTCACAACTGGAATCGGAGGGTTATAGAGCATCCTTTTGTTTATGCTACCTGGACAGGTGGCTTCTTTGTTACTAAATGAGAAATTCAGGTAGATGCTCTGGACTTCAGGTTTTATATTTTTCGTTAGTGCGTGGGATAAGTCAGTGCAGCAGCCTCGAGACATCCAGAAAGAATACGTAAAAACGAAAAGCCTTGTCCTGTAATGTTGAAGTCAGCTAGGAGGAAGTTTGCCACAGCATTTTCAAACGCGTGGATGTTCTGGACTTTGTGGAGTGTTTTATGCAACTCTGAACAGTAGGCTCAACGTGATGTTACTGGTAAAGTGCGTTTGACTCCTAAGGTATCTCTTTGGTGAGAATTTTGAGGGGGAGGGAGCATTCATTTGCATTTGAGAAAATCACTTTTTTTTTTTTTTTTTTTAAATTTTGTGACAGAGTCTTGCTCTGTCACCCAGGCTGGAGTGCAGTGGCATGATCTTGACTCACTGTAACCTCTGCTATAACTGCCTCCCAGGTTCAAGCGGTTCTCCTGCCTCAGCCTCCCGAGTAGCTGGGATTATAGGTGTGTGCTGCCACACCCGGCTAATTTTTGTATTTTTATTAGAAACAAGGTTTTACCATGTTGTCCAGGCTGGTCTGGAACTCCTGACCTCAAGTGATCCACCCACCTCTGCCTCCCAGTACTGGGAATACAGGCGTGAGCCACCATGCCTGGCTGAGAAAGTTTTATTCTGTTCTTCCATTCATAGAAGTGTAATTTTATTAAGTTAGTAATAGAATAGGAAACATATTTGTTGCTCTCAAATCTTACACCTTTGATTTTTAAACCCTATTAAGTTATTTCTAGATAATTCAGTCTAAGTGTGTAAGTGTGCGTGAGAGCAGCTCTGAAAAGTTAGGAACATGCTTTGAGCATTGATAGCGTCACTTAAGTAAGTGATGACTTGGGAGAGTAATAGCGTTTAATGTCAATCACAGTTGTTGGTAAATTCGACAGTCTCTAGTGTTGAGTGCCTTTGAAAATAGGAAGCTGAATGAACACTCCTTGGTAAACGGCGGTGGGTATGTGCATGTGCGCAGCCCCATGTGGTCCCATCCAGACCAGTGTGCTGTCTGCTGTGTTTGGTTGTGTGCAAACTTCCTGTTCGAGATTATTTTTGAAGTTTTATTTTGAAATTCTTTATTTAAAAAAAATGTTTTAGTAACTTTCAAGTAAGCAGTCTTTGGTGGCGTCATGCATTAGATCGTGGTGAATTCTGAGATGCTAGTTCTCCCAAGCAGTGTATGTTGTACCTACAGTGTAGTTTTTTCGTCCCTCTTTGGCATCTTTTTGTCTGGAGGGCTCAGTAATCTGTATTTTTGTCATCTCTACCGTGTTTTCGTATTCCTTGCAGTTGGAGACTCAGGAAGGGTTTTAAATTATCTGTGGAAGCTGTCAACAGTGGCATCATGGGCTATTCATCCTTCCTCTTGGAAGTTCTTCAATGAGAAGATTTTAGAGGCGGGTGGAGTTAGCGTCAACATTTGCTAAACTTAGCTGTGCACCTGGCGTGCTGAAGGGAGCACTCCTTACAGTGCCTTAATGCCTGAGGGGCACTGTGGGGTGGGTGTCTTTCCGGTCAATATTAATTTCTTTTTATTAATTAAAGCTTTGAAAATGCCTGCTTACTCTGTTTTGATTACCTTCTAGCCATCGTTTCTCTCTCCCGGGAATACTGATCTTGTTTTTCTCCCAAGCACCATAGAATTCATTAGAAACATTTTTATTTGCAGAGGATTCAGCAGTAATAAGTACTTGTCATGTCACCTGCTGTTGATGGGCAGCGGTGTTGAAATTTAGCCATTAGCATGTTCAGTAACAGAACCAAGGCAGATGTTTTTATTTCTGGAGGTTTTCAAGCACAAAGTTACGTTGAGTTGATACTGTAGCGTCTAGAGGGGGCTGAACTACATAACCCACTGCCGTTTGTTATTTTAAAGATCGTTTTACGTTTGGGGTCTTGGTTTCTAGGCCTTTGGATATGGTGTTCCTAGCTGTTCTAGGATGTAGACCTTGGTACTACAGTATGCCCAGTGGTTGAAATGGGATAGACTGAAGGCTGTCATTTGGCCAAGTTATTTCGTCTTCCTGTTTAGAAAGGTGAAGAGGGAATGTCACGGCAGCTCTTGCTCTGTTAGAAATCTAGATGTCCCTGATTTCCGGAGACGGCGGAGTTTATGATTGGGTATCAGAAGGCCTGGCTTCTGTGTCATGGTCCATAGTTGCTGCCTTTTTGCAGGGTGTCAGTCGCTCTTACCTAACTGTTCACTAAGAACTCGACTCTGACGTTTGTGACCGGGGTAAGTTGCAGAGTCGGGAGACCCCTGACTGCTTTTCCCTGTACCCTGATGTGGACAGGATTCCTGCCCTGGAGTGCAACCCCACAGAAAGGCAGGTCCTGGGAAGGCACTAATTCTTGTCTGTGGTCAGCGTTGTGTTAGGAGCTCTGAGAGGTGATCTTTTTCTCTGTCTTCCCCGAGCTGCCCTGAGTTGGCAAGAAGTGCTGAGCCCGAGGGCAGGGTCGAATTGCTGATGGCTTGTGGGGAGGCGAGGCTTCTGAGACCTGGAGCATTCGTTCATTCATTCATTCCTCTAGTTTATATTTTACTTATTTTTTGGACCAGATTTCGCTCTTACCTAAAAAAACTCCTAGGGCTGCTTTACACAGTGCCAGGCCTCTGAGAAACCTGAGGTGGCAGGAATGCTTGTGCCCAGGAGTTCAAGGCTACAGTGAGCCATGATTGCACCACTGCTCTTTAGCCCCCAAGTTACTACAGGTGTGTGACTCAACGCCTGGCTAATATTTTTACATTTTTAGTAGAGACAAGGTTTTGCCATGTTGCCCAGGCTGGCTTGAACTCCTGGGCATGAGTGTTTGCCACTTTTCAGGCACGAGTCCCCAGACCTAGCCCAGAGCATTTGACACTAGATGTCAGGATATTGCTGGTAGGAACCGTAATCAGAGCAGAAGCTCAAGGTGCGGTTGTCAGGGATCCATGTGGAGTTTGCAGCCTGCGTGAGACACATTTCTTAGGTGCATCTCCCCCACATTGAAAACCTTGCTGATCATCAGCTTTAAGCCAGATTAACCTCTTACCTAAAAAAACTCCTAGGGCTGCTTTACATAGTGCCAGGCCTCTGAGAAAGTCAGATCCT